GGAGGGAAAAAAAAGTTATCTTAGATTTCAAAATAAAAGGAAGCGGAGCAAAAAAATAGGAAGGAATAAAATAATATTTCTTTCATATCAAATGTTTGTTTTCGTTTTATTTCAATTTTCAGACTATAACGAAAATTGTTAGAAACATATAAAATTATAAATATATTTTAATTTAATTAAATTCTCTGTATGTGATATTTTAATGGAAATTATTATTTATCTCATATTTGATAAGAGAATTTTAATGTTGTTTAAAAGCACATAAAATTCTTTTTCTTTCATCTACTTTTAGTCTTTTCCTTGTTTGATTTTTAGTTTTTTTTAATTACTTTCTAAATAGCACGTCAGAAAATTTTCAATTAACAAAAACAAAATTAATTAAAAATTTAATTATGTACGTGAGAGAATTATTTTAAGTAAACATTTTGTTATTGAATGCAAAAATAAAAATAATAATAATTAAAAAAAATAATAATAATAGTAATAATATTAATATTTTCAAAATATAAATTGAAATATTTCAAGGAATATTTCTTAAAGCAAAAAAAAATTGAAATAGTCCAAGGAATATTTTCGAAACAAATTGAAATATTGCCTGGAATTTTTTCTTATGCAATAAAAATCGATTACAAGAAGAATTAAAAGGAAATATTTCGTCCTATCGTCAATGAAAAAATTCCAAGTACCATTAAAAGAAATTAAAAGAAGAAAGTAATGAAACTTTAGATTTTTCAAATAAATTTCAAAAGTGAAAATTCGTCTTATTAAACGCCTTTCAAATAATGTCGATTCGGCGACTGCTTAAAAATTTAATTATAAAAGTGAGTTTTCAAAGTGCGCAACTTTGAAGTTTTTTTTTCCTTTCTTTTTTTATTATTTTTTTTTCTTATTTGAAGCCAGAAAAGTTGGTTTGAGAGAAAGACAAAAAAGCCGGGTTTGGTCACGGTCTGAGAGAAGTCCTTGAATCTCAGTCGCGAGAAGAGAGAGAAAGAGAGAGAAAGAGAGAGAAAAAGAGAGAAAAAGAGAGGAAAAGAGAGAAAAAGAGAAAAATAGAGAGAAAAAGAAAAAAAGAGAGAGAGAGTAAGGACACGGTGGGTTTGAGGGTTCAAAAAGGGTTGAACTGAGTACGTACTCTGTTGGCTTGTAAGGAATGCGTTTACGAATCGAGGCAAAAGAGAAAATCTGTGCTGTTGAACAAACGAAGCCAAGCTTCCTTCGGCAAAGGAAGTATTAAACGGGCTTCCACTTATGCTCGTTTTCCTTCTTTCTCCAATACCAAGAAAAATAAGAAAAAAAGAGAAAGAAAGAAAGAAAGAAAGAGAGAGAAAAAAAAGGTTGAGGTGCGCTCTTGCAGCTGGTACAGAGTCTCAAACTGGCAAGATGGAGTTAGTTTCGAGTTTTATAAAAGTAAAGATAAGAAAAGACTCGAAAGAACAACTCCTTGAGAAAAACAACGAGAAATTCCATAAAATGAACAAAAAACAAAATACACACACAAAAAAAATAATAATGTTCCAGAGAGTAAAATCCGCACTGCCTGCAAACACCATTTTACTTTCTTTCTACACGTCGCAAATATATAAAATTTTTCAATTCTAAAATTTCCTCCACTTATTTTTCCAATACTATTACTTGGTTATTTTATACATTTTTTTTTTCCACAAAAAAAATTTCTCTGTTCAATAGCACGAAATATTTGGAATATTCCATTAGACACTGAGAATATTTCGTCTGCAGTTTAGGAGTATTTAAAAAAAAAATTTCTTACACATTTTAGAAACATTAAAATTTCCGACCATTGGAATATTCCTCTGGAATACTTTGGGATTATTTGGAATAATATAGAAAAATTGAAAAATTACAATTACTTTTAAAAATTCACAACTTTTATCGACATAAAATAAATTGAAACGTTGGGAAAATTTATTATTTTATGATCAATAATAATCTCAATGACAATAAAAAAAAATATTTTTTAAAAATTGGAATGGAATATTCCCTTAATATTTTAATAGAATATTCCTATATTATTTTAAAAGGACATTCCAAAGGTTGGACAATTTAATATTCCTAAAATATTGTTGGAATATTGCTGAAGAATATTCTCAAGTTTCGAATGTAAGTATAATATTCGAGGAATGTGAATATTCCTTTGGAATATCTCGTATATCATCAGAATTTTTTATTTTTTTTTACTATTATGAAAATACTAAATCTATAAATGAAAATATTAAATCTATAAATAAATATATGGAAAAAATAAAAAAATGTATTATTAATATTATTATTGTTAATATTTTTATTATCATTATTATTATTGTTAATATTATTATTATTATTATTATTATTATTATTACTGTTATTATTTTTATTATCATTACTATTATTATTGTTATAATGAAAATTTGGAGGGAAAGTAAACGAACGGAGAATAATCTATTGTTTGAATCGTTTTGACCATAGCAGACAACAAGAGAGGATACTCTGGTGCATAATTTATGAGTATTTCGTAATATTTGGTTATTGTATAAATTTCACTTTGTTGCATGTCACATGATTTTGAACAACTATAACAGAAATGGAGCTCTGTTCAAACATAAATCGAAGGAGGTTCTGTATTTTATTGTAACAACACAGTGCATTTTCAGTTATTTCAATAAACATATTTTTTAATTAAGTTTCGACAGAAAAAAATTGACTTGTCTAATTTATTATTATTAATAATAATAGAAAAAAATTTATTCAAATATTAAAAGAAAATAAATTTTTTATTTAGGATATTGATGAAAAGTAATTTTTTTACTTAAAAAAATATTAATTAGGTAAAGAAAATTATTTAATAAAACATTAAAAAAAAAAAATTTAAATAATAAATTTGTTAAATTTATTACATTATTTATTTATAATTTATTTATTATTTATTTATTATTTTTTTAAACAAATAAATCTTTTTTTAATGTTCTAGGTTAAAAAAAGGTTTAGAAAATCGAATTTAAAAAAAAAACGAGTAGTAAAAGTCGATGTTTGTCAGACGAATTACTGTAAATCTAGAGAAGAACGAAGAAATCAGTAGTAATAGTCGATTATAGTCAGACATACTTTATATACAATACGAATTACGTACGATTTTCAGTGGAAAAGTTCGAGAATAGTCAGACACGAGTAAAAACATTCAGTCACTATTTCAGGTGTATTATTCAACAAACTTGCGGATATTACGTAATATCATGCGATATACCGGAATGTTTAGCAATTATTAAGAATTATTTAACGATATTATGGAAAACTTGAAGATATTATGTAAAGTATTTAATAATATTTAGAAATAATTTAATTAATATAGAAAAAATATTTACAAGTATTCTTCTTATTTTGCTTTCGAACAATGTCTGACTATAATCGGCTATTACTACTGATTTCATTACTCTTATTATTTTTATCTTTTCTTGAATTCGCTTGACAAAAAATATTTTTTTATTTTTTATTAACAGCAATATTTCAAATACACGGAATATTTCTCTCACATTCCTGGAATATTCCATTAGAGCACTGAGAATTTTCCTTTGGAATGTTTCTATGATTTTCTAGGAATATTAAAATGTCCGAACTTTAGAATAGTTCTTGGAAATAATTTAAAAGTATTCCATTGGAATTTTGTAATTAGAATATAGTAGAAATATTTTATATTCCAAATATTATAAGAAAAATTCCATCGGAATATTACTTTCTAAATTTAAAACTTTTCCTGTTTATAATAAAGTAATGAATTTATTTAAATGTCGCAAAAATTGATTAGTTTATGACTAATGATACTAATAGACAAAATATTTTTACAAAATTTAAATGGAATATTCTTACAACATTTTTATGGAATATTTCTACATTATTCCAAAGGGATATTGCAAAGGTCGGAAATTTTAATACTCCTAAAATTTGGAGAGAATATTTCAGAAGAAAATTCTTAATTTTAGTATGTAATATTCGAAGAATGCGAATGGAATATTGCGCTCTATTGGCGTGGGAATATTAGTAATATTAATTTATAAACAATGATAATAACAATAATATTATTATTTTAATATTAAGAATTTTAATAATAAAAACATTCTTTTTGAATATTTAAGGAATATTTACAGACTTTTTATGGAATATTTGCAAATATTTTTGTAAAATAAAGATATTCATTTTACAAATTTAAAAATTTTTATTTTTTGGTTCAAAAAAAAAAAAAAAAATTTTGTGAATTTTTTTTGTAAAACATTAATTTAAGGATCTTCTAAAATAATTTTTGTAGATACTCTGCAAAAAAATATTTGCGAATATTCAGAAAAAAATATTTTTAAGATAGGTACTCTTGTAGAATATTTGGAAATATTAATTGTAAAATATTTTGAGATATTCTTGTAGAATATTTGGAAATATTATTGTAAAATATTTTGAGATATTCTTGTAGATTTTTTTAGAGATATTTTCGCACAATATTTAGGAATTTTTTTTTATCAAACACTCAGGATTATTCTTGGAAAATATTTAAAGATATTCTTAAATACTACTTAGAAATATTATTTTGGAATATCTACTTTGGATATTCCTATAGAATAGAGATTGTAATTCTTAGAAATAATTAAAAAATGGTATTCGATTGGAATTTTTTAGGATTATTTTTGAAATATTCCAGTAAAAAAAATTTATCGACATTCCCAATGGAATATTTTGAAAGTAATTAAGAATCTCGTTTATAATTTTAATTTAAAATGAGAGCTTAAAATTGAGAATTAAATATAAATGCATAATTTAATGTTAATTGATGTAAATGTTATTTATATTAATTAATGTTAATATAATATAATTTAGCATATTAATAATTAATTAATAATGAATTAATTATTATTACTTAATTATTAAGACTTAATTTAAATTGTCAAAATAATAATATAGGAATAGAAAATAATGAAAAGTATTTAATGTATTTATCTATAAAATTTGGGAAATTTACTCACGATGCATCTCAATGGCAATGGAAGCAGATACCGGTTGGCTGATGTTATTATTGGATGCCTGACATGTAAACACAGCATGTAGATCCTGCCTGGAGAGTTTTGGGATGAGAAGTGTGTTTCGACGGAGATCAGGGAATTCGCCAGGACTGTCCTTAGAATCCAATAACACTTCACCCCGCCACCATCTGACTGTGGGAGGTGGTCGACCTGGAAATTTCGAACTCGTGTAAATAGGCCTGTAGGCTACTTGGAGAATGAGAGAGCGAGAGAGAGAGACGGCCAACGGTCACTTATAACATGTCGGATATACACTGTATCTGTCGGTTCTCGTTAATTTATAATTCATAATGGTGTTGTTGCGTGCGAATAATTCCCGTTAAGAGAAGCATATATAAACGTGATGGCAAAAACGGCTAATATCTAAGGTGACCTCATCATTATTTTATAAACATAGGACCATTTTTCTTTAGTGCAAAAAAAAAAAAATGGGGAAAATTAATTATTATACAAAATTTAATTTGGTTAGCAGAAAAAATTTCGTTTTCTCAGTGAACCTCGCCTTTTGAGTCTCGTGCATTTCGTAATTTCGTACATTGATAAATTTTGATAGCATTTGACGAAAACTGAAGAGAATATATTACTCGAGTAATTGGAATATTATTTGGAATATTATCACAGTAATTGAAATATTATTTGAAATATTATCAGAGTAATTGGATGTGACAAATATTTTAACTCAATATTTGAGAAAATATTTAAAACAGTAAAATTACAAAAACAATCAATTTAAATTAAAGATCAATTAAATTAATTACCCATATAAACACTTTATATAACACAGATTAACGCAAAATTACATAAATAAAAATAGCAAGATTAATTTATATAACATTTAACAATTTATTAATATTTATCTAAAGTCAAAAACTTATTCTTTCTCTAAAATTAATTTTGGAGACGCGTCTCAGTCACATATACACAAAACATACATACATAAATAGATAAATATAATTATTATATACAATAAATATTTCAATGAAATCTCACATAAAATAAAGCATACAAATATAAAAACAAAATGATTCGAGTCAACCTTTTATCTAAAAATTTAAATTTGCTCTCAATAACAATACATTACATAAATCCCGAAAATTAAATAAACAATAAATATATATATATTAAAAAATAATGGTACTCATCTCTCAAACAATTTTGTGTGGAGTTACCAAAATTATCCATATTCCAGGAATGTACTAAAGTTTTCCTCCTGCGATGGGAGTCCTGGATGAATGTTGTGAAATCCAAGATAGAGATGATGGATGATAATTAATTAAAATTCGGGACTATTATAACGGCCATACTTTAAATAAAAGAAAATAAACAAAATTTATAAACGCAACTCAAAGAAATTAAACATAAAACACTTGATAATTAAATAATGCACCTTTCCGTGTCCTCGGCCGGCACGTGAGAGCATGACCATTTTTCTGGTGTGGTCGACAAAAGGCAAAACTCGAATAAAAATGAATTTTCCTAAATCGACAATCAAACCCAAATTAATCAATTCCCCACTCCTAGAGAACACGGAAATTACCAAATTGCAGAAATGTTAGACAGTCAGTATCATCCAGGAGCTCCCTATTATAAATATAATTAATAATCGACAAATACATGAAGTAACCGCTTCATCCCAATGGGAAATTTACAACTGGCGTAGTACTGCGCCAGTACTGGCAGCACTGGCGGCAAGGCTGAGAGCCAGCACTGGCATGGCACTGGGATGATAACGCCGTCTGGCGCTGCCGAAGTACTGTCTGTCAGTGCTGCCAGACAGCGCTGGCGCAGCACTGGACCAGTGCTGGCTGAGAATATTGCCGCAATAAATGCCGTATTGTTATTAATTAGTCGTAAATTCATAATTATAAATAATTTAACAACAAAATGGTAAATAATATTAATTAATAAATAGTTATTATTCATAAAATATTTCTCTTCTTAAAGAAATTGTATTAAAGATGGAGACTAACAATGGATATAGTAAATGAAGTAGAAAAAAATTGTTTATAACATTGAAAAATTAAATAATAAACAATTACAGTAAGTGTGCATTAGATTTTCATATTTTAGTACCTAACGATTGGAATCTAGAAATATCGCAAACCTATGAAAATAAACAAAATTGCTGACGAGGGGAATCGAACCCACGACCTACGGACTAACAGACTAACGCTCTAACCACTATGCTAACGACACATGTGTACAGAAAATTATTAATATCTCAGTATCATTCAGACATAAAATTATTGAGTCAAAGATGAGAAAAAAATAGGGATACGTTAGAAATAATAAATTGAAGTAAAATAAGTTAAACTAAATTTTTAATAATTAAATTAAATTACTTTATTTATTGCATTTAACATTTTACGTAATTCTTAAATTACGTGGTAATTTTTTAATAATTTTTTATTCATAGTAAGAAGTATAATAGTATTTTAATAGGAACCAAATTATTATTGAGATTAAAGTTTAAATTTCGTTTATAATTTTAATTTGTTTAAATAATTTATTATTTACAAAATTAGACAATTGTGTTAAATTGTTATTATTAAATTTATTAAGAATAAAAAATGAACAACTGAAAAGTAAAATATTAATTTTTTTTAATAAATTTATATTTATAAACATTTATAAACTTTTTTTATAATTTTTTTCAAGTTTATGTCAAAAAAGCAATGTTGGCAAAGAGCGTTGTGAACAATTTTTCTATACTCAGCCAGCACTTGCCGCCGTGGCTTGTCTAAGCTTTGGCGAAACAAAAATTCTGTACTGCGCCAGCACTAATTGTCGAGGCTCGGCTAGAATACGCCGAACAATCGTCTGAGTACTAAGCCAGTGGTGAACATCGGCACTACACTGGCATTTCCCATTGGGATGGAATATTATTTGGAACATTAGTTCCCTAATAGCACAAAATATTCCACTCACATTCCTGGATTTTCATTGGAACATTAGGAATATTCCATCCAAATTTTTGGAATATTGAAATGATTCCGACCTTTCGAATAATTTAGGAATATTCCATAAAATATTCTAGAAATATTCCATAAAGTATTCTAGAAATATTTCATAAAATAATCTAGAAATATTCCATAGAAATATTCCATTGGAATCGTGTAAAAATGTATTTTTTATTAGTATTATTGATGGTATATTAATCATTTTTCGAGGCATTTAAATAAATTCAACAATTTATTATGAACTGCAAAAAGTTGAAAATTCAAAAAGTAATATTCCTGTGGAATATTTTTATAATATTTCAATAAAATATTATTACTATATTTATATGCTATATAAGATTACAGTGAAATATTCCTACTATATTCTAATTACAATATATTATTGGAATATTGCTGACATTATTCCAAAGGAATATTTAAAAGGTCGGACATTATAATATTCCTAAAATACTTATGGAATAATGGAATATTCCAGAATGCGAATATTCGGTGATATTGGGTAACATTTCAATGAAATATTTCTTATATTTAAAATTATAATATTCCGCACATTACAAATAAATATTTCTTTTTCTATTATTCTAAGTGACAATTAAGTCCCAGTAAACAATTGATATTCCTATTATTAAAATTAATATTTTTATTGGTTCAATTTACACTCCAATTATTTCAACTGATTTTGTCATAATTCAAATTTATATTTCTCTTACACAAATAATTTTTTTATGACGATTAATATTGTATTGTTAATTAATCAATTATTCTCCAATAAATATTACATACATGAAAATAGAATATTTCCAAAATTACAACAAAATTTGCATTAAAGATTAATGAAGCACTAATAAGAGCATTATTATGAAATAAATAATTATTATTGAGCGAAATAGTTATTAATTAATGAAATATTAATTTAAAAAAATAGAAATTAAAATAAATTTAACTAGCAATAAACTCCTTATTGTCTTTTTTAAATAAAATTATCAATTTTAAAAATAATAGAATTTAAAAATTTTCTAATTTAAATTTTTGTTGAAAATACTAAAAAAAATTAAATTTTTGAGAAATTACAAATAATTGCAGAAATTCAATTATTTTCAAAAAAATTAAAATTCTTTTTATAAAATTCAACTATTTTCAAAATTTAAAAAAAATTCTTGTAAAAATCCCAATTATCTTTATAAATAACAAAATTCTTCTCCAAAGTTCAATTATTATCATAAAAATTAAAAAAAAATTCTTCTCCTAATTTCAATTATTTTCAAAAATGAAATGCATTTTTCTAATTTTAATGATTTTTATTATCTACGATTTTAATAAAATTTGCCAAAAGGAATTCAATTATTTAAAAAAAATTTTAATAAAATTGTATGCAAACATTTAATTATTTTCATGAATAATAAAAATTTCACAGGAATTCAATTATTTTTATAAATAATAATTTTTTTTAAGGAATTCAATTATTATTTTCATAAAAAATAATTTAAAATTCTAGAAAATAATAATTGAATTAAAATGATGAAAATAATTTGGATGAAGTTACAGTAACAATATTTTTATAATATAAAATAATAATTTTATCTCTTGGTCATCTTTAATTTTATTAGAAAATATGAATATTACAAACATGAAAATAGAATATTTCCAAAATTACAACAAAATTTACAGTAATGATTAATGAAGCACTAATGAGAGCATTATTATAAAATAATAATTCATTATTGAGCGATATAGTTATTAATTAAAGGAAATATTAATTAAAAAAAGTAGAAATTAAAATAAAATTTTAATTTGTAATATTTTCTTTTATAATTTGTATTTTTCTTTTTTTTTACTTTTTTCTTGATAAATTGATATAAATTAATTTGTTGTTTTGTGTAAAATAAAATTAATAAATTCCAATGGAAAATTAATAATTTCTCATTTTACTTGTGAAATATACGTTTTCAATGATGACTTCTGTTAATATGTCGTCACGATTTGCACCAGTTTCGCATCACCAAACGTTCAACTGATGATATGCTGTTAAAGATAAATTTATTATCGCTTTACTGCCACGACGTCATCTCCAGCACCCCGACCGGAAATTAAAATGTAATCCAATCTGAGAGACGTGCACGTGAAGTTAGGCTCAAAAGAGAGTGCCATCCACCTAATTATCATGTTACGTGTCATGATCCCATATGCATAAAGATTTCTCTCGATTTTTTTCTCTCTCTCACTCTTTTTTTTTCTCTATCTCTTTCTATTTTTGATCTTTTTTCTCTTTCTCTCTTTTCTTTCTCTCTCTTTCTCTACTTAAGGGAGAAATGGATTTTGGCATTAAAATAATTTTTCAGTAAAATATACAACAAGGATTTTGAATTTTAGAAACAAAATTTTTCTATTATAAAATAAAGATAAAAATAATAGAGTTTGAATTTTCATGGAATTTTTTTTTAAATAATTTTTTTTATAATAAAAGAAAAAGTGGTATTAATAGAAAAAAAATTATAATAGCACTGAATAATCTGTTAACATTCCTGGAATATTTAATTATAACATTAGGAATATTTCTCGAAAATATTCCATCCACATTTTTAGGAATATTAATAAATTCATCCTGTGAAATATTTCCTTAGAATAATATAGGAATATTTCATAAAATATTTCTACTATATTCTAATTACAAAATTCCAAAGGAATACTTTTACATTATTGCAAAGAAATATTTCAAAGGTCGAATATTTTAAAATTCCTAAAATGTGAGTGGAATATTCCAAAGGAATTTTCTCAATATTCTAATGGAATATTCTAGGATTGTGGGGGGAATATTCCTTGCTATTGATGTATTGTTATTGAAAAAAATTAAAAATAATTTTTATTGGGTGAATTCTAGAAAAGATAAAAATAATAGAAAAGCGATGAAATCAGTAGTAATAGTCGATTATAGTCAGACGTTGTTTGAAAAAAATATTAAGAGAGAATATTCCAGAGGAATCTTCTCAATATTCGAAAGGAAAATTCTCAATGTTCCAATGGAATATTTTCAATGCTCCAATGGAATATTCCAGAAATGTGAATTGAATATTCCGTGATTTCCCAGATAATATTAGTAGAAAAAAAATACTAAAATACATTACAAAGCTTTTGAATTTTGAAATTAGAAAAAAATGTTTCTTACGAACAATTGAAAAAAAAATTTTTTTTTATTATAAACAATAGAAAAAAAATAAGAATAGAAAAAAAAATATTATCTTGAAAAAAATAATACTAGTGGAAAAAAATAATATTAATAAAAAATATTCTCCTATGATAAGATTGTAATGAGAAAATGAAAAAAAGAAGAAATGATAATAAAAAAGAATAGCTATTAAAAAGAAGAAAATTATTGTTACATTCCTGCTATTGTTCTTTTCAATATTACAAAGTGAAATAACGTGGAAAAATTGAATTCAAGACCAAATGACATATTTTATTGTTATTTATGACTAGAAGAAGAAAAATAATAAAAAAAATATACCTACGCAAGATGAAATTTAATTCAGCTTTTTTATGCTTCTTTGATGATGATAATAATAATAAAGAAAAAGAAAAAAAGGCAGTAAAAGAATACAACTTACCACCGGAAACAAGACACTTGAGTTCCATATTTCCGCCTTCTTGATATGGTCCAGCGACAGTTGGCACTGTTTTTCCATATTCGTCTATGATGTTCGGTTTATGAGGTGGAACTGTAACAGGAAAAAATAAAAAAAAAACGATTTTAGTACAGAAAATGTTTAGAAAGAAAAGATAAGAAATGGTAAGAGAAACCAAAGAGAGAGGGGGGGAGTGAGAGAGAAAGAGAAAGTTTATCTCGTGAGTAATATCAAAGCTAAGGTTGTAAACAGTTATTAAACTCAAACCTAAGGGTAGACATAGTTTCCATAAAGGGAAAATCACATAGGCAAGCAAGTGCAAATGGAAACTTGAATGTAATTGTGCAAATGTTCACCAATATACATACATATATATGTATGTATATTATATATAGAAGCGAAAGATTATTTCCCCAACAGAAATTAATTCACTTCTCTCAAGCGTAAGTTAATTCATATTTCTCAGATTTTAATTAATTGTACCACAAAACATAGATTTACTAAATAGCTTTTCCCTCTATTATGTAATTGTAAATATTATTTTACTTTTTACTATTTTAAGTGTCAACAATTTTTTTTTAATATTCCAAGAATATTTTTATTCAAATTCGCTGGATAAATAATTTCTCCAGAATAATATTCTTTAGCATATTTGGTAATAGGGAATATCTTTGATATTTCATTGGAATATTAAGAAATCTTTGGAAACAATGCAAGGATTATTTAATTTATAATATCAGGAATATTTATTTTCGATTGTTTAAGAGATATTAGGAGTATTACGAATACCAGGAATATTTCGAAAGATATTGCGAATAATACGATTGTTAGGAATAATAAAAATACTAGGAATATTAAGAATAATAGAAATATTACAAGTAACACGATTATAAGAAATATTAAAAATACAAGGAATATTAAGAATTCTACGAATATTACAAATATACGAAAATAAATACTTAGAAATATTACGGAAAATACGACTATCAGGAATATTAAAATTACTAGGAACATTAAAAATATTACGAATGCTAGGAAAATTACGAATAATACGAATATTAGGAATACTGTAAATACTAGACATATTACGAATAATTACGGTTATTAGGAATATTAAAAATACTAAGAAAATTACGAATATTTGGAATATAATGAATAATAGACGTATTTCGAATAATACGATTATAAGGGATATTGAAAATACTAGGAATATTAAGAATACTACAAATATTAGTGAAATAAAAATACCGAAAATGTTAAGAATACTAGAAATATTACGAATAATACGATTATAAGGGATACAAAAAATACTGGAAATATTAAAGACAACACGATTATGAGGAATATTAAAAATACTAGGAATATTAAGAATAATCAGAATATTGTGAATATAAAAAAGATTAGGATAGTAAAAATACTAGAAATATTACCAATATTATGATAATCAGGGATATTATAATTAGTATGCGTATTAAGAATATTACGAATAACAGAAATATTAGGAAATTAAAAATACTATAAAATAAATATTACGAATAATTCGATTATCAGGAATATTAAAATTACTAGTAATATTAAGAATATTACGAATGCTAGGAAAATTACTAACATTAGAAATATTATAAAAAATAGACATATTTCAAATTATTAAGATTATTAGGAATATTAAGAATACTAGGATATTAAGAAAACTAGAAATATTACAAATAACACGATAAGGAATTTTAGAAATACAAGGAATATTAAGAATTTTACGAATATAAAAAAATAAATATTACAGACAACACGATTACGAGGAACATTATAAAAATACTAGGAATATTATGAATAACAGAAATATTAGGGAACTAAAAATACTAGAAATATTACGAATAATATGATTATTAGGAGTATTAAAATTACAAGGAATATAAGAATATTATGAATGCTGGCAAATTTTTATTAATACGAATATTAGAAATATTATGATTCTTAGACATATTACGAGGAATTACGATTATTAGGAATATTAAAAGTACTAGGAATGTTAAGAATATTACGAATACTAGGAAAATTACGAATATTTGGAATATTTTGAATAATAGACATATTACGAATAATATGATTATAAGGAATATTAAAAATACTAGGAATATTAAGAATACTAAGAATATTACGAAGACTACAAATATTAGGAAAATAAAAATACCGAAAATATTAAGAATACTATAAATATTACAAATAACATGATTATAAGAAATATTTAAAATACAAGGAATATTAAGAATTATACGAATACTATGAAAATTACGAAGAATATGAATATTAGGAATATTATAAATACTAGAAATATTACAGATATTCCGAATATTGGAAATATTAAAAATACTATGAATGTTACGTATAATACGAATATTAGGAATATTAAGAATATTAGAAATATGAAGAATATTAGAAATATGAAGAATAATACGAATATTAGGAATATATTATAAGTACTGGGAATATTTTATAATACTAGAAATATTACGAATAAATAGATTATAAGGAATATTAAAAATACAGGGAATATTAAGAATAATAAGAATATTTTGAATAACAGAAATATTAGGAAACTAAAGATACTAGTAAAATTACGAATAATACGATTATCAAGAGTATTAATTTACTAGGAATATTACGCATTTTTCGACTATTACGAATACTAGGAATACTAGGAATATTGCGAATAATTCGAATATTAGCAATATTAAAAGTACTAATAAATTACGAATAATACTAATACTAGAAATAGTAAAAAATACTAGAAATATTAAAATACACTAGGAATAATGAAAAATTGAATAAACAGCATTTTTTCCGACACTTATTGAACGCTTCAGAGAAAAGAAAACTTTGTAGATTTTAAAATAAATGATTGTGGACTTTTTTTTTAAAGTCAACATTGTAAAAGAGAAGCGTGACACCGATAATAAAGGTTGATAAGAAATTATATTATCGAGTCTATTATTAATGAAGAGAGATAATTAATGGAGTTCCCGGTTTTCTGGCTCATTAGTCTTTCTTTTGTCAATTAATTTCTTTCTTTTGTTTTTTGTTTTTTTTTTTTTTTTTTTTTTGGCATTTGAATTTTGCGAATATATATGTACGAAGCAGTGGTGGTTGTGGGCGCAGACGATCGCAGTAAGATAGGGGTGATGATGGAGCACGATTTTCAGACCCTCAACTCATCAACAAGCTCTTTGGTCTCAAAACGAGCAAAAACAGTTAATTGGCTCAATAAGGAGTTGGGTCAGAGAGTGAACTCTCGATGTTGTCAGAAGCGGGCACGAAATTTCGCTCTTTTTCGGAATATTTTATATTATACACTTATTCCAATGAAAAAAATTAAGCATTATATTTAGTGGACACACGAAGGTTTTGAATTATTCTTTTTTTTTCTTTTGCAAAAAAATATAATAATTATATGTAATTTTATTATATTTTTTATTGTAATTTTATAATTTTGTATATATTCACTATACAGATGAAGTTTTTAGATACTTTTTTCTTTACAATTGTAAACATTTTATTGGAATTTATTAAATTTTTTTATTTTATTGGGATATTCCCAATGAAAAAGGAACATTCCATTGGAATATTCCTACTATATTTTAATTAAAATATTCCAATGGAATATTATTAATTCCTACAATATTTCAATGGAATATTTTTATATTTTATTGGAATATTTTTAATTTCTACAATATTCCAATGGAATATTTTATTATTCCATTGGAATATTTCCAATTCCTGCATTATTCCAAATAATGCAAAAAATTTCCAAGACAGTTTAACCAAAAAGAAATTGGAAATAGTTTTGTAATGAATTTTCTAGAAATATTCCAAATAATAATAATAATAATAATAATAATAATAATAATAATAATAATAATAATAATAATAATAATAATAATAATAATAATAATAATAATATTCCCAATAAACAGGTTGAAATTCGGATCTTTTAATGTACCTATAATGTGAATGGAATATTCTAGGAATACTAATAAAATACTTCATGGGAATGTTATAAAATACTTGAATAAAAAAATCCCAAAAACAATAAAAAAATATTTTCTAAAAATATTCAGAACCGGAAAAGAATTCTTTAGTAAAAAAAATTTCCTAATTTAATAAATAATATAAAAGAATAATAATACAATGTAAGAAGAAGGAAAAAATTTTTTTGAAATAAACGAAAGATGAATTACATGATAGAAGTAAATTGAGGAATTAAGGAATACTGTTATTTCCCTCTTTTGAAAAGTAGAATCTCTTGTACATACGGGTGAACAGAAAAAAAAGAAAAGAAAAAAAAACTCTAACGATGATAGATTTTACCTGTAATCACGTCAAAATAAAATTCAACTTAATCTAAGCTACAAGTTTTCCACACATAGCAGTCCTTTTATGGCAATTGCATGGAGAGCTCTTTGGTAATGTTCGCATAATGCCTGATTTACATTTTATTCTCACTCCATTAAAGTAGAAGCTTGATGCCTTTCTCAAGCCGTCATTAAAAAAGAGTTGTGCACTTTTATAGTGATTGCATGCAAGGTGCACCGAAATATAAACGATGATTGGCAAACTCATAAATCAATGTCGCTCCTTGGATAAATTCTTACTTACAAAAGAAATTTTAACTCCCTCTCTCTCTCTCTCTTTCTCTCTCTGCCTTTTTTTCTCTTTCTTTCTATTTTCCTTTTTTTCTCTCTCTCTCTCTGGCATTTTTTATCTTTCTCTCCCCCTATGAGGTATTTAATTTCAGTTTATGTGTAATTTAAAAAAAAGTATTTGCTACATATACAATTTTATATTAATTTCATTCTCATAAATGTTGAGGACTTGATTGTAGGACGTGTTTTTGAGTGAGTGTGTTTGTGTGTTGGAACGAAAAAGAAACGTCTAGAAAAGAAAATTACTCTCGTGCTCTTTGGGCGGTTTGGAATTCAAATGAGAATTTCCGGTTGTTGACATTAATCTTCTTTTCTTATGAATTTTATTAGATTTTACGCTTATTAGAAGAGAAGAAAGAAAAAATAGGTGATTATTAATTTTTGTTTATTATTCAA